GGGCTGTTCCCCTCCCCGCCCCCGCCCCCCAGTGTGTGGGAGAGGACCTTCTCCTTTCTGACTTCTTAGTGTTCCCTTTGGAGTTCTTAGAGTCATAGGATGTATCCACACACAGAGATATTACCATAAAAATAAAGTACTGTTAGCAATACTTAAGTGCAGAAACCTGGATCTCAAGGCCTAGAGCCTTACATTTTTTTCTGGATTTTACAAGAGATTCTCCTAAAGCATTGTCAACTCACAGACTACATCTATATCTAAAGGATGCAGAAGAAAAACTATGCAGTCAATGCTGCTGTGGCATAAAATGGGAAATCTATAAAACAAACTTGAATCTAAAAATGGGATTTTATGGTTGTATGGGGGAGCTTTCCCATAAAATAAATATATAAATTATAAAGTTCCACAACAATCCATGTCCTGGATCCATATTTTTGTGTAATGATACCTCTCTGAAAAGCAGGTCCCATGGTTCTTATAGCTGTCTGCATGTGCCAATATCTGTTTTAAAAGTTCATCTTCTATAAAAACTCTGAGGTTTCTTAACAGTTCATTACTCATATTCGTGATTTTGTACCTTCAGAATCACCAAGTTGGAATTAGAATTAAAAATTGGAAGCAAAAATAGTAATTAGTGCTTTTATCTGTGGAGGCAGTTTTTATCTAATTAACATTGATTTCATATAGAATGAAATAATATCATGAGGATGTATATCCTGTTGTATTTTTCTGCTTGTTAGATGTGTTGTGTCCTTGGTTTTGTGGATAATGCTTTTAGATTAATTTTTTTTTTAATTTTTGGGATCCAACTTTTATTGAGACTTAATTGGTTTTTGAAGGTGAAAGTACAATTTTAACATGCTTTGAATTTTAACATGCTTTGAAAAAAAGGTTTGTATTTTTCAATAATGAAAATGAATTTAATTTTAAAGTCCTTTAATTTTTAAAAATATTTTATTTTGATCTATTCTGCCATCCAGAAAAGTGGAATTTAAAACATATACAAATATTTATTCTTAAATGAATGTATTGTGATCATGCTCTGCTGGATCAGTTTGGTCTGTTCCAGAATGGCTGCTGTTTTGTTACATTTCTGTTGTAAAGTTGTCATATTACCGAGTTTCCACTTGAGGGCACCCGTGGGTTGCATCTGACAATATTCCCTATTCTGTAACCTGGCAGCAAAGTTCCTTAAATATAACAAAATTCAGTTTGATGCTTGCCTAGATCAGAGCTAACTATACTCTTGATGAGAATCCTGGAAGCTGTAATTTATCTCTAGCCTTTTTCAGGATTTACCTGCTGCTTTGGTAATTTACTGTAATAGTATTCCTTCTTAAACCTGGTGTAATGCTGCAATGCTTCATCTGCTTTAGTTTTGAGAAGTCTGCCTATTTCTATAACTCTATCTAGGATTCCTCAGGGATCTGCATACTATTTGTTCCTATTTAACATCTATATGAACTCGCTAGGTGGAGTCATCTGTTGTCATCAGGTTAAGTACCAACATATGCTGATGATACTGATCTGTGCATCTCAACCCAGGGCCAATCAAGTGATGTTTTCTTTCCCAGTATCTGGAGGCTGTGGGAACCTGGATGGGGAAGAACAGATTTGAAAAGAAAAGATTGAGTGGCTGTGGGCTTTAGGGGCCTCTGGATCCTGGGACCTCCCTTTAGTTCTGGTTGGGGTTGCATTTCCCCTAATAGAACTGGTGTACATTTTTGGGCTCCTCTTGGACTTTCAGCTCCTGCTTGAAGAGCAGATGGCAGCCATGGCCAGGAGGACTTTTCCATAAATCCATCTTGTGCACCAGTTATACCCCTTCCTGGATTGGAAGGCCCTGCTTATGGTCACTTGTGCCTTGGTCACTTCCTGTTTGGAGTATTGCACTATGCTGTACATGGGGCTGCCCTTGAAGACCATCAGGAAACTACAACTGGTCTTGAATGCAGAACCATAGGTAGTCATAGTCTATTTTGCAAGATGTACTTGCTCCTGTTAGACTTCTAGATACAATTCAAGGTGCTAGTTACTACTTATAAAGTTCTTTATGGTACAGATCCGGATTATAAATGAGACTGCCTATCTTCAATTGTTTCTGCTTGTCCCACAAGATATGACAGGATGGACTTGCTTTGGGTCCCCTCCATGAATCAATACCATCTGATAGGAATTGTGTTTTCTGTCCCATAGTGCCTGCTGTATGGAACAGCATGCCCACTCTCCACTTGATTCAGATGACCCCAATCCTTTCATAAAGCCTTGAAAACCTGGTTCTTCTCCAGGCATTAGGCCATGGGACTGGATGAGCCCATCTTATGGTTGTGATTTCAGCCTCAACTGTATTGTGTTTTCTGTTGTTTTATCTTGTTGGTCTTTTTCTGTTTTTGTTTTTGATCTTATTTAAGCTGCCTAGATTGCAGACTGTACTATGTTTGCACCCCCAGCATCTTTTTAGAATCTAATACAAAATGATGCAGAGTCCTGTAATATATATTTCAAAATACTTTTTTCTTAAAGTATCATGACTGCAGTTTCCACTGAAAATAGGTCGTTTGTTTTCTCCTGTCATTTTTATCTTTTAAGAGTGCAAAAAGGTTGATCTCAAGAGCCTAATTTAAGGTCAAGCTTGTAACTCAGTGTTTGTTTATTTCACTTGAAGAAGTTGAATCAATAGTTCTTCTCCAGGTACTACCTGAAATGGGTTAGAGTTGTAAATGTCCAAGAACTAAAACCAGCTGAACAGCTACTTGAAGTACTAACAAAAATATGAAGATTTACGAAGTTAGAGATGGCTGTCTTTTACAATCAAAAAACATAAATTTGGGCTGGATATTTAGGAAAAACTAGAATTCTGAGGTTCTATGGTCATCTTCTATTTTTATTTCTAGACTCTGGTATTCAATATTGAAGAATTCATTTCAACTCTGACTAAAGAACTTATTTAAATTTGGAACATCATTTTCAGATTCTATACAGAATTCCTTTTTGCTAGAAATCTGAGTAGCCCATAATTTTACCAGAGATTCTTATTCTGTCAGAATCTGAGACATTAAAAATTGGCATTTACAGCCATCAGTGGATTCTTCCAAATAAACCATAACTCTTTTGATGGATTAAGCAAAAGAAGTTACTTAGATTTGTTACAGTTTTTATTATTACAGCAAGGTAGTTTGTGGAAAAAAGAAATACAGACATTTTAACAATAATTTGTATATTCTGCTTTTTGAAAATTGTACAGTCTAGAATGTCAGATTCTTTTGCTTATGTATAAGATCTAGAAAAATGGCAGAGCAAATTGAAATGGATAGTTGTTTTTTTCAATGAGATATAATAATCATTGTGCAAATTAAGTGAAAGTATGAGGTATAATGATAGTAATGTATAGGTGGTTCTCAGGTTCTTATTATTGATGGATCAATCAAATCAACCAATAAAGCTGTCTGTAATACATGTAAAGACAAGGAAAGCAGGGAAAAATATTTAACACTTTCTTCTTTCTCTTTGTGTGCATTATCTAGGCTGTACCCCTCGGAAGTGTGGAAGAGGGATAACAGATGCCATAATTAACAGGGAGGAAGCTGAGCGAATCCGTAGGTAAATATTTTGTTTTTTTCAGACACAGAATGTCCTTGTTAAAAGTTTCAGAATAGTGTGGTGGTGGTGTTTTCTGTTTGTTTTATAAAAAGTGTACAGGTAGTCCTTGTTTAACAACCACTTGTTCAGCAACTGTTTGAATTTATGATGGCGCTGAATGAGTGGTAGTTACAACCGGACCTCATACTTATGGCTGGTACAGCATCCCCATGGTCACATGATTGTGATTTACAATCTTCCCTGCTGGCTTCCCACGAGCAAAGACAGTAGGGAAGCTAGCAGGATGCTGGAAGTCATGGTCATGTGAGGTCCTCACTTAACGACCCGTGCACTCCTTGTTTAACAACAACAACTAGGAGTGCTGGAACCGCTGTCGCTAAGTGGTGCGGTCACATAGTTTTTCAACTTATGACCGTGTTACTTAACGACAGAGCTTGTGGTCCCAGTTAGTGTTGTTAAACGTGGACTACTTGTACACTTCATAAAACTTCCTGCATAAGATAGAAAAGTGGCCTGGATATGAATCTTCCTTTTCTCTCCTTCATGGGTATTAACTAGTTAGAAAATTCTTAATAAGTATGTTGCCTTGGGAATGAGTTTCAATGGCTTATTGAAACCAACCCCAGATTGAGATAATTTGTTAAAAAAGAAAGCTGAGCACATGGAAGATACCTGGCTAGGGAAGACTCCCCATCAAAATGTAATAGAATGGCTTTGTGTCATTAATTCCTAAGGGTGTAGGCACAGAAAAGGACTGAAGGGATGAAATTAAAGAGGGGGAAAGGGACATTTGGGAAATGTTCCTTTTTCCAAGGCCTGCTCTACCTTCTACCTTCTCAAGCAGTAAACTTACTTAAGAGTTAGTAATCCAAAAGACCCAGTAGCCCAAGAGGAAAAAAACAGGAGTCATCCACAACATACAGTGTAAGGACTGTAACAGCCACTATGTAGGACAGACAGGCAGAAGACTAGCAGAGCGCATCCATGAACTCCAACTAGCAGTCAGGAGACACAATGAAAACTCCTTAATCTCAACTTAATCTCACAAAACTTGGACAGACTCACCCATAGTTTCAGCTGGGAAACTGTGAGCATCCTAGACCAAGCTAAATCCAAAAATGTGAAGGAATTTCTGGAAGCTTGGCATTCAGACAAATCAGCCATCAATAGACAATAGAAATAAACCATATTTATATACCATTCAAAAGAGAGAATAAAAAAAGCTAAGAAGGAAACAAAAAAACCAGAATACATCCTCTCCACCAGCCAGCACCCAGATAAGCAGGGATTAACACCAGGCAAACAATCAAGCAAAAAACAGCACCCTAATCAAGGAACTACCAAGGAGAAACCCCCACCCCCACCAAAACCATCAGGGGAAGCTACTGTATATAAACAGGGAGCAAACTCCACACTCACTCGTACTGGTGTTACCTAGTTGGGTAATGAAAGATCTGCAAGCAAACAACCAAGCTCAGATAGAGCCAAGGACTCCACATTCCAATAATTTTCCCAGTCCTAGTCAAGAAGACCACTGCTGAAACATTCTGGGGATTGTTGTTCAATAGCATCTAGTGAGTCTTAGATCCCTTCCCCTGATTTAAAGCTTTTAACATGAAAAGTACTTTTTGATCTGCATTGTATTTACATTCAAACATCCTTGTGTGGTAGGTTGCCATTATTATTCCTATTTAACAGGTACAGAATTAAGGTTGGGAAAACCAAAGGATCAAATGCTTCCTTTTTAAAACATGAGATTTTACCACCTTTCTAACTGTACTAACTTGTTCACTGGCAGTGATACTAAATGAGTTTGAGACTGGCCATAATTTAAAACCAGGTTTCCAAATCTTGTGGTCCATTCTCCAGTGTATTATCATATTTTGGAATTTGGATCCTGAAATCCAGAGAGCCTATCTAGAGTAGTTCGTTCATTATAGACACACATGTCCCATGGAGACAGATGTCTGTTAATAAGTATGTGCATTTGTGTATATAAATATGAATACTTGTTTCAAGTATATGCAGTTTTATTCTCTGCACTATATGCCTGTTTCAGAATATGATATTCCTGTGGGATGTTGATTAACCAACCCAGCATAAAATTTAGCTTCTGCGAATATGAGTCGCATGCGCTTCTTTCTCCCTTGCCAGCCCTATATCCTGGATAGCCTAAATTGTTGTTAATTCCTATATATGAAATCTAGAAGTGTGATAAAAACCTAGGTTACTTATGAGATGCTAACCCACACAGAACTTATGGATTTAAGTTCATGATTAATAACTATTAAGTCCCATTTCCCCAATTCTGACAGACCTGGGAATAGTATGTTAAAGCTAATAGGGATTCATGTGTTAATAAGGCAAGGAGGGAGCATTTGTTTTCAGCTGCTAAACTTTACCTGAGTAAGCCTGGAAAAGTACACCTTGACCAGCCATAGTGTTAGTGTTTGGCAGTAAACGCAGAAAGAACTGAAAGCTTTAATTAGGTGCTTTTTCATTTTTTGCAATAAAGTTGGGCAGCTCTTTTCATCACAGAAGGTACCTCCGCTGCTCTCTTTTCATTGTATCAGATACCTCCACTGCATTGTTGAGCTCCTCTGTTCAGCTTATAGACTCCTGTTTTCCCATGCAACAATATTTCATTGATAATGAACTACATTTTCCTATCCTTTGGTCACTTGTAATTCGAAATTTGTTCCTGACCTTTGGAGCAAGAAACACAATAGTAGCTGAGGCTTTTTCCCAGTAATCCTGCCTGGACATGACTGGGTAAGAGTTGAGTTTGGATTTTGCCATTTTTAATAGCAAATGCTTTGCCTCTGAGTATTGTGTGTGGCATAGGTGGCCCTCATCATCTACAGTCTTTTATTTATGTAATTGCTAAACTGAGTCCAGATCATGCAGAGATTTTTACATAACTGTGGTTTGGACTTTTTTTTCTTTACATGAGCGCAAAATTCTGGATAGCTTTTGCACATGCATAAAGTATGCATTTTAAGGTTTCATCTGCAGTTTTGTTATCCACGGCCCTTGAGAATGAACCTCACAGATAATGAGGGCCACCTGTATGCTGATTTACCTGCTGTGAATCCAAGCAGGCTTGCCTTTCCTGTTCCTTCTATATCAAGGGTGGCGAGATGTATTTGAAAAGCATCTGTAAACAACTGGGGTAAAATCTATTTTTTGAGATTGTTGTTTTATCCACAGAATAGCAGAGAGGGGACTGTCCCTGGGAGGATCGGATGGAGGGGTGAGCAGTGTCCTGTTACTTTTTTACATTCTTCTGGTGTTCAGGCAAGATTCTTCAGATTATGCTTTACACTGTCTTTTGGGGAGAAGTATCAGCCAGACAGAAATGGGAGTCCACTCTGATCTTCATTTAGCAAAATGTTCAATTTAGTTACTGATAGGTATTACAACTGTCTGTGATCCAATAATGACAAAACCCAGATTTTGTTATCCGATCTGTGCCACATATTATCTGCAGTCTGCCATGATGATGTGTATGGCATTAATGGAAATGTTATTCTTTCTGATTGCAAAAGCTGAATTTGGGGAGGAGAAGGGAAAAAAACCCCCGAGGCAATGCAAATGAGGTATAGAGTAAGAATATTCATCAAATCATATCTGCATCAGTGTGTCATTGAGGGGATCTTTGTTACTCTTTGCATCCAAATCTTTCTCTCCCTTTCTGTGATTATAAGGTATATTTGCTTCTATGCAGCATAATGAATCAAATATTGAACTGATGAGGAGACCTAGATTCAGCACTATACACGGTAGTCTTCTAGAAAACGACTGGCTATTAGCCCAGTATGGCTAATACTGTATGGCTTTGAGAGCTGGACCATAAAGAAGGCTGAGCACCGAAGAATTGATGCCTTTGAACTGTGGTGCTGGAGAAGACTCTTGAGAGTCCCCTGGACTGCTAGGAGGTCAAACCAGTCAATCTTAAAGGAAATCAACCCTGATTGCTCATTGAAAGGATCGATAATGAAGCTCAAGCTCAGATACTTTGGTCACCTAATGCGAAGAGAGGACGGCAGTGAAGGACAGGAACGCCTGGCGCAATATGGTTCATGGGGTCACGAAGAGTCGGACACGACTTAACGACTAAATAACAACAACAACATTAGCCCAGCTTCTCTCTTTTATTTTTCAGAAAAAGGCAGTGAAAAATGCCTCAGATATCGAAGGAAAAAAGATCTGCATTAGTATGCTTTCTCTGATTGTTTCAGAGGATAAAAGTAACACCTTGAGAAAAAAATGGCTAGTTTGAAGAAGTTTGGGTGGATAATTAACGTGCCAGTCCTCACTTTCATCAATATTTTTAATAGATTGTGAAGGTTGGCCAAACATGTAATCTACATATAAGGGAGATGGAATACATAATCAAGGACCAAGATAAATATTTGTACAGTAAATACTTAGTGTCTTTTTTATTGGGAAATGTACAGCATAGTAAGAAATCAATATATCCTTGCTGTAGTTTGAAAGCTGCAAGGTCTTTTGATGGGGTATAATGAGAAGGACCCACTTACAGTCTGCCTTTCTGTTCTGTTAGAACTATACATTGCCCAATGTCTGTCAAATATGTTTCCACTAGGATATATTAGTTAGTTATGCCAACATGCTCATTTTCTATTAGGCAAAATGTCTTGAAACACAGAATTTTAAAGGCGCTAATGATCACATGATTGAACTTGACTGGTTTTGTTAGATGCTTTCTTCAATAAATGAATTGTATTTGTGTGTATGTTTAAATTGTAACATATTACTAGCACAATCATGATAAAAGAAGGAAAAAAAGAATAATAAATACAGTATAAAATTGAGCAAAAATGTTCAAAATAACATAAGGTTATTATTACATATAAAGTAATCTTAGCTTACTGGAATCAAATCACAGGTCAATAATTAATAAAAATAAGAATCATCAATCAGAATAAATTGTATTAACTTTTTTGTCAAATTTAGAAAATTTGTCCTTGTTAGACAAAACAGAGAAGATTTAGTATTTTAGAACCTTATATTAAAAGAAACCTAACATTTGGATATGTGTACAGAATAATAGTTCATAAAGAGTTTTCAAGTTAAATTCAGAATTATTTTTAAATACAAAGTTAATTTTGACATTGATGCATAGTCCACAACTTAGTCTGCTTCTAATCAATAACTAGCTAATGTTACTGATTTTGGGCTTCAGCAATACAGTCCTTAACTTGCTCAGGTTCAGGTTCATATTTCAGTAACTTATAAATAAGCCCAAACAGATGTTTTGAGTTTTGTGTTACAAGTTTTTCAAATGCAGTCAAGTCTCTGGGTATTTCGCCTTGTTTTTGTAATTCCTTTTGAACTATACTACCTGTTTGGAGATCTTGAAACCAGTGAGGCATTTCTGACCATTCGAAGGAGAGAATCTAAAAAGATTTCATCTTTGTTTTATCTATATGAATTGTTATTTCTCCACTGGTCATAATTTTTGTAATTTACCTTCAAGAAAATGAACATTTAATATTGAAGGAAGGGATTAGGATTACAACTGGTGTAATAATATAGTTTAAGGTTTCGTACTGCCAATCTATCTCATTCTTTCACATCTTTCAAAATCTTAAATTTTATCCCCAGTCTTTTATTTGATGAAATAAAATTGATTATTTGTCTCTGATACTCATTTAGTACCTTTTCTTCAATTCTCATTGGAATTACTTGAAATTGAAAGTTTCAATAAATAAAAATAATATATATTAATTATTCAATAAATAATAAAATATTCATTTTTGTTAAGAATATGTTAAATTCTTTAGAATTCATATTCTAAAGAATATGTTACTAGAGAATGTTAAACTTGTCCTGGTTAGGAAGCATATTCATTTTTACTGCAAATATGCTTCCTAACCAGGACAAGTTTAACATTCTCTACTATTAAAATATCTGACATTATGTTTTTCCAAATCTGTGAGTAATTATTCTTAAATAAGTCTTTGTTATATTTTGCTAAGTAAATTCCCAGTTATTTAATTGGTTTAACAGTAATATTAAACCTTTCTTCTGATAGATTCCACATAATCCTTTGTGTCTCATTCTGGTTAATCTGATTTCCTGATACCAAACCATAGTGCTCTATATGTTCCTTGTTGATTCTAGGGAGTCTTTTAGTTGAGAACTGTAAGTACAACATCATCAGAAATCCTGGGTTGAGCAATTGTTAGTACAATATCATCAGCAAATCATTTCAATTTAAGTTGTTGCACAACTACTTTACCTCCTAGGATTCTGTTTCCGTAGTGTTTTTGGATTGCCGAGGGTTCTAATGCCAGTAAAAATAAAGAAGGACAGAGAGGACCTCCATGTTTTGTTCCCTTCAACATAGTGCATTGCTGTGAAATATGACTATTCACAATAATTTTAGCTTTTTGTGCTTTATAAATATTTTGCATCCATGTAAAAAGTTTGGCCTACAGCTAATTTTCTTTATTTTTTTAAGAATTGCAAACAAAACATGACTATTCCAGATTGCCAATGGCTTTTTCAGCATCAAGGAAAATCATGACCAACCTTTGGTCTTTCTAATTTATCTTATCAATCACCTTTAAACTATATCTGATATTATCTGTCATCTATCTCTTCAGGGCAAAGCCCATCTGGTCAGAATGTATTATCTCAGTTAAAAAACCATTTATCCTCTTAGCAAGAATTGCTGTGAAGAGTTATTATCCACATTTAGTACAAAATAGGTCTACATGATTCAGAATGAATCAAATCCTTTACTTCTTTCTAAATCAAGGAAATAAAAACCTATTTCCATGATGAGGGGAATTCTTCACATACTGCATCTTGTTTATTCCTTGAGTTGAAGTTTTAGTCAGAATTTCTTGAAAAATCTTCTAATATATTGTTGAAATACTATCGAGCCTTGGAGTTTTATTCATATTTAACTTTTTAATTGCTTCTTTAGTTTTGTCTTCTGTTACAGATTAAGAGCTTCTTTTTGTTGGTTAGTAATTTTTAAAATAATATTCCATTCAAATATTCTTCCACTTTTGCTGGATCGGATTGCTATTTGCTGTACAATTCCAAAAAATAATCGTTGAATTGCTGAGTAATGTATTTTGTTGTCTAGACGTATTTGGTTCCATCCCAAATAGAAGTTATCTTTCTTTTATTTCATTCTTTCTGTAATTGATAAGCTAACAATGTGTTTGGTCTGTTCCCTTTTTAAAGTACAGTGGGGCAAAAAAGTATTTAGTCAGCCACCAATTGTGCAAGTTCTCCCACTTAAAAAGATGAGAGAGGCCTGTAATTTTCATCATAGGTATACCTCAACTAAGAGAGACAAAAGGGGGGGGAAAATCCAGAAAA